GAAGAGTATATTGTAAATAATGTTTCGCTTTTGAAAGTACAATAGATTTAAATAAACTTTTTACAGCTGGTATTGTACAACGTATCATTTTTGCTATTAATATTTGATAAGTATCATTAAATGCATCAAGATTCTGTTGTTGTTGTTATTAGTTATTATGTGATAAATTTTGTATACGTTGTTTAAAATAACTAACAGCATCATAATTAAGTGCAGTATAAGTATTCCATGCTTTATAATTTGAATCATCATATGTCCAAGCATGTTTATAACTTTTCATATTTCAGCTAATATATTATCATCTGTCATACTAAATAATTCATGTTCCCATGTACCTATTCGTAAATAACATTTTGATATTAATTGAGAAAGAAGTTGTTCATGTTACTTAGCTGTTTGAGATGATGTCACATTTTTAGTTGTTACAAAGAACGCCTAATGAAAGTGAAAAAAAAACAAATTATGAAAATTGTTTTTTTTTTTCTTTTTGGAATACAGTAAAATTTATCTAACAGAGATCATCAGGATCCATCAAAATACACAAAGGTTGTTTTCTCCCATAATCTATGAATATTCAGTTGCGATCGCTTTTCGTCTATACTAGATGATTATTTTTCCTTGTTTTTTAACAACTTATTAATCAGAGGTATTAGTTAGTGACACAAAGACAACGAAGATATTATACTAAGCACTGTTGTTTCTGTCTAAGATTGTTCTTCTTCCTTTTAAAAATCTAAGACTAATCAATTTACTTTTCACATATGTTCTATGATTGCTTATCGTAACGCAACATACATAGCATCATTTTCCACATGACTGATAGAACATTCAGGAACTCTCAAAATTATTTCACCAGGTTTATTTTTCATTACCGTAATCGCTAATAAAAATCGAACAGTGAATTTGATAAAAAACTTTATATCTAACAAAAATTTTTGGAAGATAAAAAAAAGCTGCTCATTTTTCAAGGATGAGATCTTTGAAAGTACCAAAAATCAAGTAGTTTAGCACATAAAATTTTCATATCGAATTCTGTTTTGAATTACCTAGAACGATAGATCAAATAATTCTCTACATTCATATGAAATAGAAGAAAAAAATAGTTGCGTGCCGTCCGTAAGATTGATGTATCTTATATAGTGCTGAAAAATGTGTTACTTTTTAAACAATCGTTTGCTCTATCTTTCTGAGTAATTCAAACAAAATTCAATTTGAAAAATTCTATGAGTTTGAAAACATTGTTTTTTAGAGACCATATCCTTGGAACATTAGCAATCCCTTTCATCTTCAAAAGACCATTGTTGAAAATAAAATGTTTTACACAAATCATAGTCAGACTTCTTATTAAAAATATATGTCACTCAAATGCTCGACATTGTTATTATTTGAAATACTAGCAATAAGCATCCGCTATTTAGAATCAGGAGCTGCTCATATTGAAGAATGTTATACTTTATGTTTCATTAAAGAAACACAACAAGAATCTGTTTAAATAAAATCTTACGGATAACTGTGATATTGTATTAAGATTTTGAGTAGTATTAGTTGTCGTCATTGTTCTTTGTTGTACATTTCCAAGTGATGTTGCTGCTTATTTTCTTAGATTATCTAATGCTGGTAAACATGCTTTAAGAACCATTTCTTTCATATTTTCAATTAATTTTAGTTGTTCTTGATGATTTTGTTCAAGTTTAATATTTGTATTTTGAATATTTTCTTCTGTTAATGATGTTGATATATTATCATTAGAATTATTTTGTAGATTATTTTCATTATTCTAAATTTGTTCAAGATTTTGTTTTTCAAGTACAAGACGTTGGCGAGTTGCAGCTAAACAATACTAATCATATTTAGCTTTTTCATATTTAACTAATTGTTGATCAATTAATGATGGACAATAAAATGTTCGTTGAGATACTAATGAAAATACCAATGTTGTTTGAAGATCAGAATGATCTGATGTTTGAGATTGATATGTATTTGAACTAATAATTGATATATCATGATTAAGATCTGTTTGATCATTTAAAAGTGTACATGTTAATTATTTAAATATAAAATCAGCCGTTATTAAACGATTTGACTTATGACAAAGATTAGCTAATTTAATCCATGATTGAAGATCTTGTGCCATTGGTAAACAAAGTGAATGTGTTAATAATAAACGATGATAATCATCAACGATTGGTTGATTACCTTGCATACGTTTTTGTCAACTTTCACATATAGATTGACGTCGTTCAGGTGATATTTTATAGCATCATACTTCTTCTAATTCAAATAAAAGTTGAGCATTAATCATAGCTAAACAAACAGAAAATTATATTTATATGTATAGAGAGAGATTTTGGCTTTCTTCAAGTAATCTAAGATGATTGATTTAAAAAAACAATTAATAAGGAACATATTAATAATGGAATCAAAGATGCTACTCGACATATTAAAGAATAAAACTAAACGATGAAGAATTATAATTAAGGGAGTATATGTCTAACCGACGTTCGAGAAATTTCATCAGCACCATTGTAATAACAGTCAAAAATAAAATTTCTATCTGAATTATAATTATAACTCGAATAAGAAGTATCCTGGTTCATTTTAGTTTTCTTGAATCATTAGAGAAACATTTGTATCGCTGTACACATTAAGATGAGAATGAATCGCGACTCTTGCCAAGGGGCACCACACACATCTACGTCCATACAGAAGATCAGTTACAGGATCAAAAACACTTCTGCACAAGTACAATTTGAAGAGCACACTCATGATTTATGGAGAACTTCAATTAAATTCGATTTAGGCAAACTATTATCTGTTTTATCAATTTCTTTACATCCGATGAAGAGAGGAAACAGCAAACTTCAAGATTGACATCTCTACTACTTCGTTCTTTCATCAAATCGAAAATCTTTACAGTTACAGTTATATACAAAGAAAAAAATTAAGCTCTCGAAGTCTTGCAATTCATTATTTCCTCTAAATTTAAGTTTCGTCTCGATTAA